CAATGAATGTAACCAGCTAAAGAAACAACGTGGACAATGTCTATTCTGGCTGTTCGTTAAAATCTTGTCTCCAAAGATCACCCGTCTTTCTTGTCCCAGTAATTCCAAATCAAAAACCATTACTGTCAATTACTTAAAGACGCCATTAAACATCGCTCCAATCTCTCAAGAAAAAAACAGCTTACTTTGCAGTATACTTATAAAAATAAGTCACGTTGTTGTGTGTGTGTCAGTGCGAATTGTTCGTATTTTAACGGTAGTCACCAGTGCGTTCCTCTTAAAACTATACAGAGACATTATTTGTAATTGTAATAGTCGTAGCTTTCATACCGACGACAGCAGCAAGTATTCCGAATGTCTAACGATGAGACCAGTTTCGTCGTATAGTGATACTTATTAAATGTTCCGCTACTAAAATCAAGCTTAATAAATAAATAAAAAACTCAGGCTATGCTTAGTGGCTAATGTGGTTTGGTTTTTAGATGAATGAATGACAAAAAGGAAAAATGTGTTACCGCGTTTCGTCTTTTAGAAAGGCTTCATTGAAGTACAGCAATGTTTTATGATAGGAGTATATAGAGCTAGCAAGGGGTGATGATTACGAGTATATGGAGAATAGATAACATTTTACACTTCGATTGAAAGAACCAATATATATATAAATATATAATATATATATATATATATATATATATATATATATATATAGATAGATAGATAGATAATATTAGTGGTCAATATATATATATATATATATATATATATATATATATATATATATATATATATAAATTCCCAAGAGGATAGAATCCAGGTAGAACTCAATGTCCAGGACAGAGTACTAATATAATATAAAAGGCTCAAACACTAATATTCCATGGTTATAATTTATTACATTGGAATCGTACGCCCGATCCAATTCATCAGACCTACAAATTTGTAGTTCTGATAATTTATCATTTATAATGTAATAAATTATAACCATGGAATATTAGTGTTTGAGCCTTTTATATTATATATATATATATATTAAGACATTTTTATGTTTATACATTCTTTTTATAGATATAAATATTTAAGTAAATTCTCTGTTTATAATAAACAATATTAAACAACATTTACCGGCCTGAATTATAAACAGAGCATTTAAATATTTGTATCTATAAGAATGTATAAACATAAAAAATGTCTTAAAATAATTGTCGGACTTCGTCCATTTCATAATAATGTGACATATATATATATATATATATATATATATATATATATATATATATATATATATATATATATATATATTTATATGTGAGTATTATATAGGCATATTAAATACTTTATACGCACTTTACATAGTGTCACTTATGGTGAAATATAATTGTTATGCTAATTTACCCACGAACGCATGGACTCTCCCAGCTATAAATAGGAGCAGGTACTGCCTTTTCGAGATAGAAGTCTCCAGCAGTTAGCTCTGACAGTCGGACCGTACATTCTTGCTGTAACACTCTCGTTTTTATATGTTTTTATTACTGTTTCTGTTAATATATTTGTTTAACTCAATTCCTCCCTTTGTGTCTTTATTTTCTTACCCTAACAAGGCCATAACAATAATACTGGTTGTTTCTATTGTATAATAAAGACTTCAAGTATCTGGTGTCTTTCCTTACAATGAGTACTTTGATAGTATATTGGCATTATCCACAATATATTGGTCTTATGTTGCTAGCTGTATCTTGGCGTTTGAATTTAACAATTGAAAAAGGATGACTTAAAAAATTTAATGTTCGAAGGCAAGAGAGAAAACGCTTCAACCGACCTGACAAGTTTGATTAAATAGATGAAGGAACAAACACACGGAAACAAATATGGGACATAAAGGTATTACTGAAAGTAACAAAAGATAGGAAGATGTAGAGAGCCACGATAACTAATATTCTGAATGTTGGGTGGTTTGTTGGTTGTTTTGGTTTAGCGAAATATCAACCTCTTTCAATGATGAAATCTAAATATTTTGTACGTAATTTTTTTGTACGCAATTTTTTTCTCAGATTTTAGTGATAAAATGTTACTGATTAACCCATGGCAGGATGGAGAATATGTGGATTCATATCTTTCTCAAGGATATTTGCGAGTCAGTGTATATAACGAACCAAACTGGAATTGGAACTCGGCTCTCTGATTAACATTTCCGAGCCATTATGTATTACACCACACGCATATCCAAGCTTTGAGCACCTATTCCCAAGCGGTCACCCAACTAGGTACTGACAACACTCGACGTTGCTGAACTTCGGTGATCGTACAGGAACCGGTGTTTCAAAGTGAGATGGCCGTAAGTCACGTCCTGAAGAAAAAAGACAGAGTGAGAGACAGAGAAGCGATATTAGTTGGTTCAAGTGTGTATTGTTTCAAAAAAATAAAATCAAGATGGACGGTACTCTTTTGTAAGCATTAAAAGCGTTTGATGGCCAGGAATGAATCTAACCGGATTCTTGTTACATTGAATAGATCAGATAGAGTTATTTGATTGAAGGAAGTGTAATGTGCTAGCAAAATGTGCGAGAAAATGGAAGAGAGTCAAGACTTCGAATCAATATTGTTATGACAACAGCACCAGACGCAAATATAGAGGAAATTGGAATATACACGAAAATAAAACATCGTCTCTTTCCTTTTTATCAATATTGCAGTTCTACGGGTTTTCATTTAAAATTTATAAGGGTTTATATAGAAGAAAGCATTGCATAAATACTGCTGATTTCTCTCTGTCACTTTCTGTCTTTCTCTGTCTGTCTCTCTCTCTTTCCATATATATATATATATATATATATAGATAGATAGATAGATAGATATATATATAAAATGTGTATGTATATAAATATATATATATATATATATATATGCAATTTTTTTATATATATTATTTATATATTATATAAAATGATACCTATTGGAAAGCATCAATATCAGTGATTGAGCCTAACTCAACAACTATATATATATATATATATATATATATATATATATATATATATATATATATATATGAAGAAATATAGTCTTAAGATGTGCTATATTTATAGGATAAAGTGCTCAATATCAGAGATAGAGCGTGTGTAAATATAAAGTGAACATAGAAGTCAACACTTAGAGGCGACAGTCTGTTTCATGCTATATGCAATCGTTGGGCCTGACAATTGCATATGGCATGAAACAGAACTGTTTCCTCTAAATGTTGACTATATGTATAGATAGATAGATAGATAGATAGATAGATAGATAATAGATAGATAGATAATATTAGTGGTAAATATACACATACATATGCAAATTATAAATATGTTTTGAGTTTGTAGGTCTGATGAATTGGAACGTATTTACGATTCCAATGGAATAAATTATGACCATGGAATATTAATGTTTAAGCCTTTTTATTTTATTATATATATATAACATTTCATCCCAAGAGAAAGCAATAAAAGCACTGAGACGCAAGTGGTTACTGGGTGTTAGACATTATGAGAAAAATTCTCTATTAAGGAGAGATAACAATAAAGGAATTTAAGAAGATAGAAGATAACATTGCAATTAAATATTTGAAGATCAAAGTTGACTGGAAACAAGAAGGCGGAAGAGAGTTCCACAATCGAGAAGTGTGAGAGCAGGAACTGTTAACATAGAACCTACGGTTACATCTAGTCATTACAACTATAAAATGATGAGATCTTGCTGCCAATCTAGTACTAGGCTTGAATTTATAGTTTAGCTACCATAGAGGAAAGGTCATCAGAACAATTACCATGAAAATATTTATAGAAAAGACACAGGAAAGCTATGGTACGGTAGTGGGGAAGGTGACTGAAGCCGTGATGCAGGGTTAGGCCCTATAATATTACTGATTCTTCTTTGGATTTTATCAAGAATCTCAAAATATATAGTAGGATCATCAGATCCGATGTGGCAGAAATGTTCAAAGCAAGAAAATATGGCAGTGAATTTTGAACAATTTCACCAAGGACGAGTAAAAAACTAGAGGCAGAAGAAATGTGGTTCTACAGAAATATACTGAAAATTCCATGGACGGAGAAAAATGAAAATGGCAACGATAGGCACACCTATAACCAGTGGTAGCTGAAATTCGTTAGACACATAATAAGGAAGAAGAGTTTGGAAAACGTAACACTCACGGGGCATATCGAGAGCAAGAAGAATACGGGAAGGCAGTGAGCCAATTACCTGACGAGCCAGTGTTAAGGGTTAGCGAGGGCGTTAGCAAAAGGAGAATAAAAAACTGATAAGAACTACACGAGATAGAAAGTTGTGGAGCGCCATGATCGCCTATGTCAGGACGGGATGCGGTACTTAGTGGTGCTACCGGGATAGACAAATGTTTCGAAGACTATCACCAGACCAGATGTTTATTTTAGGTTTCTGGAACTTTTACCGACGTACATCAATGGGTATTTTGTGCAGTCTATGTTATATATTCCTGCATCTGTTCTGTGATTGTTGCTATCTCGTTTGATGCTAACTATATTTCTTATTGTTTTAGAGGTTCTGTTGATGAATTTTATGTCAAGGTTGGACAAGTTCTTTTAAATGGTGGCTGTTATAGAATTGGTTGGGTGATTGGTTGATTGGATTATGTATCTAATTTTGTTATGGTGGTTCTAGTCATTTCTGGATTTTTGTATTTTTCTTCTGCATGGATCCACAAATAATGATAATCCCGACAACTATAACAAAATTAGACACATAATCCTACCAACTCCATAACGGCTACAATCGAAAAAAAAACGTGACCAAATTATCGACATAAAATTCATCAACACCCGCTCTAAAAAAATAAGAGATATAGTTAGCATCAAACGAGATATCAACAACAACAACAACAGAACAGAGGCAGAAAAATACAAAAAAGACTGCACAAAATGCCCATTAATTTACACCGGTGAAACATCTGGAAACCTCGCAGAAATATTTTGCATAACTATTTTTGCATGCATATGTTGACCACATTTTACTTCTTTTTTCTCTTCGCTCTATCTCTCTCTCGCTCTCTCACTCACTCTCTCTCTCTCTCTCTCTCTCGCTCTCGCTCTCTATTTCTCTTGCCCTCCCGATGCCCCTTTCTCTCCTCTTGTATCTCTACATATATACATTTCTTTTCTCACACATTAACCCCTCTCTCTCCCCCTCTCTCTCCCCCTCTCTCTCTCTCTCTTTTTCTCTCGCTCTTTCTCGGTTTCGTTCTCTCTTCAGTTTCCATTTTCTCCTTATCTTTTTCCTTGCTCTCTCTGTTTTTTTTCTCTCTCAGAGAGAGATAGAGTCATGTTCTTAGCTTCGTCATATCGAGACTTTTTGTCTCCTATTTTCATACTTCTTCTCTCTGTGCCATATTTAATCTCTCTCTCTCTCTCTCTCTCTCTCTCTCTCTCTCTCTCTCTGCCCTGCTCTTTTTACCACATACTGCTTCTTTCGTTCTCTCCCCTCTGTCTTTTCTTTTTTGTATCGCTATCTTTTATTCTTTGCCTCTATGTATATCTCTACTCTTCCACTCAATTGCCTGTCCTTTTTCCCTCTTAACTTTCATTTTCTCTTACATTTTCATTTTCTTCATCCATCTTTCTTTGCTTTCCATCTCTGGCACTCTCTATTTCTTATTTGTTCCTTTTGTTTTGATTCTAATCTATCCATCTCTCTATTTCCCTCTCTCTATCTCTTTTTCCCTTCTCTCCCCCCTCCCTCCTCTCTCTCTCTCTCTCTCTCTCTCTCTCTCTCTCTCTCTCTCTTACTGTTTGTATGTCTTTTTCCGCGCGTCAAAAATTTAGCTATCTTCGTTCATATCTTTCGAGCCCAATCATATTTCTTTTTTTTTATTTCATATCAATATACATGTAATTACTCCTGAATATAATAGATAGATAGACAGACAGATATTTGTCCATATTAGCATTTCTTTTCCTTTTCACATATATATGATCCTTATCTATTTTCCTTTATAACAACAAATGATATTTTTGTATCCGGATGTGCCCAATTCTCTTTCGTTTTTGTCTTACACTTGCAAAAATTGACAAAATTTTGCCTCTTCCGATCAACGTCTATTTGAACACAGCACCCAGTTACAAAAAAAAACATTCTCAATATCCTTTAAGAAAACGAATCAAGTAATAGAAAACAGTGACTCTGCATTCCTTCCTGAGGTACTGACGATAAATGGATCTAGGTAAACAACAGAGACATTCATAATTTAGATAAGAATGATATTTAACAAAAACTCAACATCCCCTACCAAGTATTGCAAAGAACAGGATTCAAAGTTAAGTTTTCCAAAACAGAAACTACTTGGAATTCGAATAAAAGCAATGATGGCACATACCCTGAATTTAGGGATGCGGATTTATTAAATACAAAACACTGTAAATATCTCGGTGTATGGGTAAGTTATAATCTAGTATTGGATAAAAGAAAACTGAACATAGAATAGACTGCGCAAGAGGTAGTTTCGTAGAACACCGCCAATTGCTACCAAACCAAAACATTAACTTAAAACCTAGAGTCACGTTCTTAAATAGCGTCGTCATATCGAGACTTTCATATGGATGTCATGCTTGGCGCTAAACGCGTTCAGAAATATCTAAACTGTCTACTGTATGCAAGAAAAATGGTTTGGACGAGTGGAATTTACCCATAACAATTTCAACAGTAAAATGATAAAACCTAGCTATCAATCTAGTCAGTCATTTATGTGCCATGCATGATACACGCTTAGGCGATCATGTATCTTTCGATACATGACTGACGAGGCAGAATTTTCTTCCCACACGAAAGACGCCCGAAAGAGGATAACTCATCAGAACAATTGCCATAAACGTCTTTATAGAAAAGGCACAAGGAAAATACGTTACGGCGGTGTGAAATTGACTGAAGCCGGGATAATAGGTTATGACCGTTAATATTGCAGATTCTCCTTTGGATATAATCAAGACTCACCAGATACATATGAGAAGCATCAGACAAGGTGTGGCAAAAATATAAATTGCACGGACAAATCAAAGACTTATACAGGTGACAGACAGATTCAGGTGAAAAAACTCTTTAGCATGAATCAATGAACCAGATTTCTGTCAGACTTATTGAGATAATCTTGGCTTAATCTGACACCAAGGCACAAGTTCAAGTCACCCAGTAGGAATCAAACTCATAGAGTAGCTTTCTAACTACTGCTCCACGATGTGACCCACTAATACTAATATTTATTAAGCTGACTTTCGTACGGTATAAAGTCAGAAGCTTGACGCCCTCAGAGAGTAACGACTTCACTGCAGTAGTAATATCCAGTGTATAAAGTTTAATAAACTCGCTCCACGGTTGCAAACAATACTTCTTTATTATTGCAACATTCTAATTGCTATTTATTCGGTACAAGGTCACTCATGATGTGTCACCCATTGAGGATATTAACAAGTTTCTCGACACTGTGGCATACATTGCTCC